CTTCTGGTCCTACTCTGCAAACACTATTTATCCACAACACTGCTGTCTTTTCCTTACACTGCCCCTCCGCTACATGCCGTTTGCCATAGGATGATGAAGACGATCACTCGCCTCCACAAAGCCATGATGGTACTGGAGTATTTCACCAGTCACTCCTGGGTGTGGAACACTGACAACATGGCCATGCTGTTGGCCCAGATGAGCCCTGAGGATAAAAAGGTAGGGAGGGTCGCTATGAATAAACAATGTTTAATCATCGCTCCGCACGCTGCTTCGTTCACACTCCGTGCCTCAGTTACCCGTGCCTGCCCCGCCCACGCTGCAGTCGTTTACACGCTGTGGCAGAGTGGAGTGCCAGAGTGATAATGTCTGGTAGTAGGTTGGTAAGGCAGAGCGTGATTCATTCACTGCTGACGTCAGTTTGTTGTGAACGGGATCATTGTTCTGCATTGCAACTGTCTGGAGGAATCGGGACTCAACATTACGACACTGACGTCTTGTGGAGTCTTTTCGAGTCAATCGGGGCATCAAATTCATGTTACTGGCCACATACAGCATACTTTCATGTCAGATGAGCCTGTGTAAAGAACTTTAGCTACACATTTAATCCCCGATGTCTTAGTAATTTAAAAAAAAAAGGGCAAATTCAACAGTTTTTCTAATGTTGCTGTAGCAAAGAAGGAAATCTCCTGGGACGCCTCTTTGGGCTTAAAGTAATCAGAAATAAATGTGCAAGTTTACAGAAAGTTCTGGTAGCTCACTGCCCAGCTAATTATGAAAATTATTAAATGAATTCACTTATTTCTACGGCGGTTCTGTTGCAAAGAACGGAAATTTCTATAGTGGATGGTTTACTCCGTTATTTAGGTGTAGCATGAACGGCCATCAGAGATGTTTTTATGTAGGAGAAGCTGTAACGGTTATGAAAATACAGTTAACTTAAAAATACTTGGCTTGCTCTAAGCTGTCCAACGGTTCGATTCTGGTCCCCGGGCCTTATGTTTGACACCTCTGCTTTACATTATATTAGCAAAGTTAAACTTTTAATTTCACAGAATTTTTTTTTAAGTGCATTTGTCTCGCCTAACGAGGATACAGGCTCCTTAGACGGAGGATTCAAGGGCTTGAATTTCCTTACTGAAGCAGAGACTCTGTTCCCACGTCCCCCAACAGTTGACCACACAGTGCCTCGCTTGTATTATTTCCTAGAAGGCACCACTGGGGGGGGGAAACTGCCACAGTAAGCTGGAGCGCTGTCAGATCCAAAATGCAGCCTTCTTACTATGAAAGCGTCCCCTGTTGAGAGTTGATTTAAATGTTTGTTAATTCAGAATCGATAAAGGTTTGTCTCGCATAAACAAATGTTGCTGCTGAGGCATGCTGAGGGTGTTTCTTGTTTCTCTTGCTGCAGATATTTAACTTTGACGTGCGTCAGCTGCACTGGGCAGAGTACATGGAAAATTACTGTATGGGCACCAAAAAATACGTCCTCAACGAAGAGCTGTCGGGGCTGCCTGCTGCACGCAAACACCTCAACAAGTAAGAAGTCTATGAAATTAAACCTGTCATTCTTTCCTCCAACACAGAGACACAGGAAGTAGTAGCATTCAAAGTGATGGGCTCTGGCAGGTTCTTTAAAGTTTACCACATAAAAGATGCTTTTCTGCATCGCCAGTTAAATGTGCTGTATGCAACTTTTCGTTAATGGATTTGAAAACTTTTTATTGACAATATTTAAACATAACAACAGAAAGGAGACCTCAAACAAGCCTGACTTTTGTATTTAGGATTCAGGATGACTTTATCACAGGATTGGTCTCTTTTTGGCTGTGGTTAAAGTAAAAAAGCAGTTTTTGGGGGTTTGCAAGACCCACACTGGGGTAGATATCCAACTAGTTATAACTTGGCTACACAATATTTGTCTAGTATTACTTTGGCACATCCAACTCACTCTTAATATACTGATACAAGAGTACACAGGGTATGTACACCAGTGTCCTAGTTCTTGTACAGTGTACAGGGCTTTGGTACATGCTGCACTCGACCATTGCAGGACAGTGTGATGTATATGGTATTACTGTTTTGGTTGGTTGCTTATGCACAGTTTACAAGCATGTCTTAACGCCTGTGAATCTTATTAATTAGGTTATTATTAGAGAGCATTCATTGGAAATGACACATTATCAATATGAAACAGTCTAATGTGGTGTATCGCATGTCTCACAATCTGTTTTATTTGCAGGCTGAGGAACATTCGTTACACCTTCAACACCATCCTGGTGGTGTTTATTTGGCGCATATTCATTGCCCGATCCCAGATGGCCAGAAACATCTGGTACTTTGTGGTGAGCCTCTGCTTCAAATTCCTGTCCTACTTCCGAGCTTCTTCGACCATGAGATAATGACCGAGGGACGCGGTGGCGGGTTGCGAGGCGGAGCGACAAAAGAAATTAAGAAAAGACTGGCTGCTTGTGTTCAAAGTGCTTGGAAAAGGAGGAAAAAAAAACAATAAAAACATCCGTCTCTGGTCTCTTTTTATTGACACCACCAAACCATTTAACAACTCAAATACAGATGGAGCTACCTGACAAGCCTGGAGTTCACAGGGGTCTGTTGGCTATCTGGATCTCTGGCATTTCATAGAAACTCAGTGCATGGATTTATTGCGCCATACAGCTCCGATTCATAGCACTTGGACTAGTTGGAACAAGCCTCGTTCTGTTCATTCCCAGCATGTCCGGTCCTCCTCCTCGGCGCCAGCTTTGCCCAAGAGCAACCTTCTCTAAACCTCTAAACCTGCTCATCTCGCATCTTTGTGCTCGCCTGGCTGTCTTCCTGCAAAACGAAGCTATGCATTGGATGATGCTGCTGCAGAAATCCCCAGCTGGTTTTGAATCAGTCCAGGCTTCAGTCGTGTCAGATATGTTTTAAGTTGCAAGTGTAAGTTGTATATCTGTCATCTGAAAAGATAACTGGTTTTGCTGTTTTTGTTCCGGCTTGTCTGTGGTTCGTGTCATTTTTATGGGATGGAAAGTTTTTTAAAAGCAGTCTGTAAGAATCAGGGTTGTTTTGTTTTTTCACCTGACAGCAGCGTTCGCTAGATGCTTAAACAGTTGGTTGATTTGACATTTTAAGAGGCTTATTCAGGGACCGGCCGACCTAGGGATCACTGTTTAACTCTGTCGTGACCTCCTAACCCCAAGAGCGAAGCCATTTTAGCTAACACGTGACATTTGCAGCGATGGCTTGTGGAAACTGAAGTATAAACACGGGAGGGGCTTGCTTATGCTGATTTTTATGTCCCACAAACAGAATGGCCTTTAGCCCCTCTCGCTGCTTGTGAGAAAGAAACTGCCAGCAATGATGCACCACTGCATGTTCCCCCAGTGGACTACGGTGGCAGACTCCCTAATTACAGCAAAGCACAATGTAGATTGTACTGTAGTGGCTTTCCCCAGTGCCTACAAACCAACGGTTCTTGCATCAGCAGATATCCGGCTTCTTCTTCAGTTTCCTTTTTTGTTTTAAATGACGTCTGAAAGTTATTAAGCTACACTTTTGCCAAAATGCATCTTGGCTAACATGCTCATACCTCTGTAAAACGGTGGGGGTGAGATGGTTATTTCTTCTCGAATGCTTGGAAATTAAACGCTCTTGTACCGGTACAAATCTTGAGTTCCACACTGTTCTTTTAGTACACTACTTTTCAGGTAGCACTAATTGTAGCTTGCCATCATTGTGAAGGGTTTAAGTCGTTTTTCTTTGCAAGTGCATGTGTTAGAGTAACTTCGCGGGACATACTGTATTCTATTGCTGCTGTTTATAACCTCTTGGACCATTCGTTGCCATGTTAAGTCTTACATTGTTGGAACTGAGCTAATCTGCGCACTGTTATGTTTGTCTTTTCCCCGAGCTTTAATGAAGCAGGGTGTGACTGCGTGCTGTTTGCTTGCATCTTAGGCCATAGAGATTTCAAGCACCTACATGTTTGTCGTGCCAGAGTCACTGAGGAGTGTGATTTATATTTATTTTTTTCCCCCCCTCTTCTCCCAAATCTCACAGCAGGAGTCATTTTGCATAGATCGTATGAAAGTCCAAGACTCAAACCTGAATTGTGCCTGAACTTTTGTCAAGATAATGTGAAATGAAAGCAATCAAATCTGTTTTCTAGTTATTTTCTGTATAACTCTATTTAGGTAGACGACATATAACACAACAGATGTATTTTTATGCTGATAACATTGTGACTAGTTTACTGATAAAGAGCTAACTGAACCAACTTCAGCTGCTGTATATTTAAAATAAAAAAAAAAATAAAAAGAAATTTAACCTGTTAATAAAAATGTAAATGCAGTAGATTGAATGCTGAATTTGGCTGTTACAAGTTGCTCGTCATATGACTTTGTATATACATGCACATTTTAACTTTTTCCATCACTGAATGTAGTAGACATTCAACAGCCTGACTTCATTGCTCAGCCAGATTCTCTCTGACTGAAATGACAGCTCTGGAAAAATTCTGTAATTGCCTGTGATTTTAATATGGGAAAAGCTGAGGGACCATGTGACGAATTCTTGCTTAACTCTGTTTCCTTGTGAGGGTGTGAAGTCTCTGGTGTGATTATGACTGTTCTTGTTTAGTGTGGTGGGGGGAGGGAGGGGAAATAAAGCGACGCCATGTCTAATTCAGGGTTTTCTCACTTCTGATGTCAGGAACTACTGAATCCTACGAGTGGATTGTTAAAACGGGGCATTGCACACAAGCATTGAAATGATTGTAAACCTCTGAAATCACAGCTTTGAACAGTTTAGGAATTGCATTGCGTTATAGCATTATTTTGCAACAACCAAAGTTTTTCTTTGGCACATTTACATTTTTGTGATATAAGCTTGCTTGCAAAAAATTTTTTTGTGCATGTTAGAGGAATTTAATGTCATACAAGCAGCTTAGGGAAAAATGTTTAGTGTGCCTCTGTCCAAAACGAAATCCAGCCACCAGAGTAGTTTCTGCAGGGCCAACCCTGATTGCAGCAGAAATTTGGCAAAGAAATAATGTAACACAATGCATAACAGACGTTTGTACGTTTTGATAGAGTAGGTGATGCCAGTTTCCTTTAAGCTAAATTACATTTTGGGACTTGAGAGGTATCCATAGACTGTAGATAAAAGATGTACCTACAGTGCCAACATCCACTGACTTCTTTGAAACAGGATGTGACCATATTTGGATGAAAGGTTGAGCGGGAAAAGTGATGCTACTGCTACTAATGACTAGATAACTTGGCAAAGTGCCAAAGGTCAAATGTTATGCTAATGTTTGGCTAGCTTAAAATAACTTGGCAGAAAACTGAACACAAAGGAACGGCCACTTAAGTGCATATCTTTAAACATGATTGCTGTTTTAAAAAATTTTTTTTTTTTTCATAAGATGCCAAGTTTGGATATTGCGTTGAGCCGGCCTCAAGTGGCCATTCGAGGAACTGCAATTATCGCCATTTCTACTGTGCTTTCATTTTCATAGCAATCGATTTCCAACAGACTCGAGATCAAAATCTCTTACGTAAAACAACTTTAGCTCTCCTAACCTGGCAGGAAAAAAATGCAATCAAGCAGAACCCTACTTTTCATAGAGGGGAGGGACAAAAAGATTAAAATGTGTTTTCGGGGTTTTTAAAAAGACCCGATGGCCTGAGTATTTATCCCCTGCATCAAAGGAGGAGTGGTAGTTTTATTTGGCCTTTTTAGATGATCAGTTGATCGCAGGGCACGTTTAAGGTGCAGAATAAAGTTTTCATCAGTGGTTGTGAATGCATTTAAAATGATTTGGTTTCAGTGTTTGATTTTTAAAATGTGAGGTTCTTGAGGGGAGGCCTGTTTAATCGCTCCTACTTTGAGTGCAGTGATGAATATCGGCCCCACTCTTTACTCTCAGAAGTTGGGAAAGGGATTCTTGTCATTCATTTTAATGTGACACTCCTCAAAAAAATATCAATGGGTGCCTTTTGTTTGTAAACCAAAAAAGGAATAAACAATGTTTAATCTTCTAGTTCAGAAGTTATGTTTTTCTTTTGTAGTTGAGTCATTCTGGCACACAGCTGTAAATCACATGACTGAACCATTAGTCTCAATCTGTCCAGCTGACCTGTTTTCCTGTTTCCTGTAGTGCATTACACATCAGCACTCCACCTCACGCGCTGTATTTGGAAGTCAGATTAAAGTGGAAGCTATTAGACGGCTCCATTAAGATTCAGTGTGATCAGGATTATACTTGTCTCCAGGGATGAGAGGATTGGCCCGTCATCATTTTTGATGGCTGTTTTCATTTTCTAGAAACCACGACTGGAAGGGCTGCATTTCTAATAAAGCTCAGAAGCAGATCATTGACGCTGCACTGTGTTAACCTTTACTTTGCACACATTTAAGTCTAAAACCAGTCTTGCCACAGTTCTGAAAGCTCAGTCACACTGTGTGAGCCCGGACAGGAGCGGGTAACATGATTAATGGCTTAAGTAAAAGCACCTCCAGAAGAAAGGTTGTGGATGCTGGAGTCTGCATTCCAACAAGACTGCGGTCATGAGAGATTCCATCTTACCAGGTTTTATCAACATGCAGTTAGTTGCGCCACAGTTGGTGTGTATACTTCACTAATGTCCTTTCATCAACGCTACGAGGTGCAGAGAAGTACACACCCCCATCACCATCAACGGAGCTGCTGTGGAGAGAGTGAGCAGCTTCCACTTCCTTGGTGTACATCTGGCTGAGGATCTTACGTGGTCAG